AGAATTTTTAGTAAAAGGACTTTTTCATTCCTAGCTCTCCCTGCCATCAAACACTTATACGCTTGCCTAGTGAAGAATGTTTGCCTCTTTAACATATCGAAATTTGAACTGAATTGATTCAGCAGATGAAAAGCTACGGCCGAAAATGCATTTGGCCGAATACTTTTGAGCGCCTCTGTACCTCCTATATACAGGGGGGGGGGCAAAAAAATGAAACGCTTTTGCCTGCGGCGCAGATCTTCAAAGGTGCCGCTATTTGGATTTGGCGGCGTTCAACTAATTGTGGTTTGAGTGTGAAGAAGAGTGACTCTTTTCTGCCCCTTCCCTCCCCTACTCCCTGTATACTTGGGGAGGCCTAAAAAGTCTTCACCTTTCCACATTCAAAACGAGACTAATTACACTCTACTAAATCCAAACCGAATGACTCCGACCGGAAATTGAAGATCACATTCCAGTCATCAAAAAACTTCAAGATAGCCTTCTGCTCCCGTGTTGTAAGAAACTCAATGGGGTCCTCTACAGATTATGGACTAGTACGACGTCTGAAACGCCGCTCGAATGCAGTCTGGCACAATCGGAGCTACTGCTCTAGGAAACTATCAACCAGTTAGGCGATTCAAGAACTTAGGTTAGATCTACCAAATGTTTATTAGTTGACGTGTATTCAGTAAAATAAAGGTTGTTAATTTTATTAATATCATCTTTATGGACAGGGAGTTGAGTGGCGAAAAAAAATCTCCTTTGCATGGCGCCACATATCAAACTTTTCGGGGCCGCAAGGGACCGCTGTTGTTGGAGTTTTGCCCAGCATGAATATTCCCTACAGGTGCCCCACCCTCTCCCACGAGCAGAAGCAGGCCCTCTCTTGCTGCTCTCAACGTCTTCAGAATATGCTGTCATCTGCCATCACAGTCGAGCTCAAGGAGGTCAACAGTAATCGCTTCAGCCTAAAACTGCTACATAATCTCTTCAGTCGGTTGTGCGAGAGTTAGTTTTTAACACATTGACGACAACGCGAGTTTTGGCACTTTTGGCCACGTGGGACCACGGCGTTTTTGCGAGCGCCGGCGCGCCTCAGGTCGTTCAAGCAAATTTTGAGTGATAAAAACATAAATAATGATCAATACAAGGACCAGATCAATATATTGTAATGAGCACAACCTACTCGGAGGTACAGTAGTGGAATTTCTATTGAAAGACATGGAATAACAATGAAAAAGTGATGTCGCGCCGGCACGACGCCTTGCTCCCCGCTAGTCGCATAAGCATCGGGGTTCACCCGGCGAAGGAGCGGCGTCGGTGTCGGCGTGAGGGTAGCTACGGGGACTTACGCCGCGCTCGCTGCCCGCCACTATGCCACGCGGACACCTAATAGGCCTGAGCAGCCCCGACTGGCAGTACGCCATACCCTACTGCGTATTGCAATACCTAGGACTATGCCGAGATGTTATTGTCCCGATACGTGGTAGCTACGAGGAATTTATGACCCGACCTACAAGCGTTATGCCGACTATGAACACTCTAGACATATTAATAAATAGATAGTTTAGTGCGGATCAACCGCTACGATTTTAAACACTACAAGAAAATATACCATAGATTCATGTGATCTTGAAACTACGATGAAAAAATAAACGACTACAACACAATACGGCTACTACCCTAGACTCACGGGTCGAACCCAGAAGTGCTTCTTACGCGGGGATGACGTGGCTCGGCTCCGATGTTCTTCGACGGGCATCCATGCCCGGAACCATTCGTTGACGTACGAACACTGGAGCACAAGTGGCGACGACAGACAACAACGGCCAGCGGCTACACTCGACGGCGGCAGCACGTAGACTGAAGACAGGCGAGGACGCGTGCACTCTGCGTCCCTGACGTTCTTCGAGAGACTTCGACAGCGCGGGCGCGCCAGGACCCGCGCACACCCGACCAGGCGCGACCCTTTAGGTGGAGTCGTACGGAAGTCACGACACTGGGGGCGGCGCACGACGTAAAGGGGTCCCAGCGGCTACGGAGACCAGAGCCCGTCCTTACCTACTGCGACTACGCAGCTACGATGACATACACGTTACTTAAACGTCGAGTCCCTACGGGCCTAACTACCTACGCTGGGTTCGAGGGCAATTCTTATTGACGTCCGGGTCAAGTTGTTTTTTCCCTACGATACAATTACTTAAACTACGACACGAAAAAGGTTACAATTAAACACATTGAATCTATGGCTGGAGTTTGGAGTGAGACGGCGGCTATGAATTGACGAACAGCTTTCTTGACGCGTCGATTCGGACAGCAACTAGAGTAGTAGCGACGTAGACGATGTGACGTACGGTGTAGATGACTTGACTGCGACGCCAAACGAGTACGGGTGTTTTTCTTAACTACTGTGCGAGTTTTGCCTCACACCTATGGGGGAAATTTTTAGTGCGAGGGGGAGATTTTTACCTCGCTATGCAAAATACCCACGGGTCAGTTAAGGGAAAGGCAAAAGAGAAATCCCGGGACAAGCAAAAAGAATAGCGGTCTCCCACCGCTCCCCAAGGGGTGCTGCGCTACGCAGCAGTTGCGTTCACGCGTACGTGAACAATAATAATCGCCTACGCGAGTCTGCATAACTTCTCGTACTACGAAGTACGCTGAAAATAAAGATATTAATAAACAATTATACGGACCTACGGCCCGTGTGACAGAATAAAATCATTGACTACGAAATAATAAAAACTTGTCGTGTACTACGAAAGTACACTAATCACTGACTACGAAAACGGCTGTACAACAGCGAAGGAAGAGCGGCAGCTTAAAGCTGTCTCTCTTCCTCCTCTCTCAACTCACCTACTTCCGGCGACTGGCTTTCTTCCCGTCTACGCTGCATTTCGATCTGCCTACGTTCTTGTTCGACAGCATCTTGGCGTGCTACGCGAGCGATCATTCGCGCCCTACGCATACGAGCATGGTAGTGCTCTAAGAGTACATCGCGATATACGTGCTGGTTTCTATAGCAAAACGCGGTGTGGTGCGTCTGTCCCTCTACAGCACTTGCAAGTAACGCGATTAGGGCTTACGTAACAATTTTGATCTAAGTGATCGCCTCCGCATCTGAAACAACGGCCGCTACGCGCATGCATATGTATTCTATCGAAAGATACGGAAAATTGCAGCACTGCGCGCTGAAGTGATGCTGGCGGCAAAAGAAGCAACGCGTGGATGTTGCTACGGGATCGTTTGGACGAGTTCTATACTTCGTCCCTAAGACGACCGGAGGGGGAATACGCATCTGAACGAATGGGTCGCCTAAGCGATCCAACCTGGGGGCGAAAGGCAGATGGCGAATCCTCCCTTACGGAAGGTGAGCGAGAATAACGAGTGCTACGCTCAATTCTATACTCCCTACGAGGGGAGTAGCTGCGTCGCTGCGATGGTGAACGCTCGTAATGACGCTCCCTACGAGGGGAATGATGGTACTGTGGCGAGCGTGCGCGACTGCGGTGATGATGGCGTTCGCGACTGCGCGATCTACAACAACAACAGTGCACCTCGTAGCAATGGCCGTGCCTACGCACGTAATGATCGCTGTATGCGGGGCTAGAATCGCGCGAGCGTACGCGGCGGCGCTGCTGCGGTGGTGATGGACTACGAGAGAAGCGCTCAGCGTACGCTGAATGATGTTGATAACGCTCTGGCGGCGATTCTCGCCTACGCGATACATTGCCCTGATGTTGCTGGGCTGGTGCGCGACGAATAGGATTTTCGCTGCGGCGGTAATAGCTGCGGGTGACTGCCGGTTCACTGTTCTCCTCTTCGGAGTCGACATGCTGACGAGCTTGCGCTACGGAGCCGCGCGTAAGAGAGCGACTACGATGATGCGGCTGCGATGGAACTTCAGCCGTACGAGTAGAAGACACTGCGGTGTCTGTCGCTACGTTACGCTGTTGGTATTGTGCTCTTGAACTTCTAAGTTGCGAAAAGCATCGTCTAATATTTGCATGAGCAGACTACGCGTGTTCGCGGGCTGCGCTAGCGAAGATGTTATCGCCTGCGTCGACGTAGTGGCTGCTGGTATCTTGTTCGAATTTGCTTCAGATGTCATCGTACGCAAACAGCTGAGACGGGTGGGCCTCACTACACGAATTACCTGAAAGGGGGAGAACATGACTAATGTGTACGCTGTCGCTAAATATGCACCGCGATAGATGACGAGCGTATGCGGGTGTTATATAAATATTGTAATAAACTACGACAGAATAGAAGACTACTATCAAATGTAATGAAACTACTATCAATGACTACGATATGAACTAGGTTATAGAGGAAATTGAATTAAATATGGACTATGTTATATGGATTAATATTAACCAAAGTATATAAAACTAGTTATATTAATTACTACGTTTGCATTTACTAAGTAAGATGAGCTAAATAGAATGCAAACGTAAAGGAGAGTTGCGTGTATTCGTCATTGGCGCGACACCATGCGTGTGCACGGCTCACTCCAATGAGGAATACATGGCGGAAAGAAAAGGAAAAAATTGTCTACGAAACGGCCACCATTATTAAGTGCGCGAACGGCATGCTGCATGATCAGGTAAATAATTACAAAATGGAGAATATGTGTGCAGTATGGGAAAGTACGTGGTGAGTGCGCGGGGAAATACTTAGACTACGAACGAAGATTAGGAAATAAACAATGCATAAATAAGGGTATGCTACGAAAAGGCTAGAAAATCACCACGTCGCTCTAGCGCTGCGGGCAACAAAAAAGGGGGTGGAAACGAACTATGAAAAAGGAAAAAAAAGAACATAAGAGCATATACATCATAAAACAAATAAAAATGAAAACGCTGCGGGCTGAAAATGCGCTTACGACAAAAACTACACTGCACACTGAGCTACGAAAAACCAAAGGGGAGAAGAGGTACCTGATCAGGCAGCGTCCCGTGATGTTTGCGCGTACATCATCGTCGAATGCTTGAAATGACGAATATAGAATAGTAGAATAACAGTGAATATGAAAGTAGCTGCAATGAAGCGATGAGCTGCAACGAGAAGCGTAGAACTACGCAAGACGTGTATGAAAAAAGGCACTAGATGGCTTGAATATCGTTGCTTCGCGGCCTTCGTTACACGCGTGCGTACGCGTCGCGTACTAGCGCTGGGGCGAACTATTGCTCGTCCATACGCAGCAAACGAACTAGATCTTGAGGCTTACGTTACAGAACAAGCAAGACTTTAATTTTGCGCGCTACGAACATACTTATGAGCCGATTTAGCCGCTCTTGATGGTTGGATACGTTGAGCGGATGGAGTTTGAGGTATGGTTTTTGTGACCGACTGAGTTGATTGTGCGCGTATTTCTAGCGGATATAACTGCGTAATTGATCTTGTTTTTGTATTACCGCTAGGCATAAGAACATCAGCCGATCGTACGCAACCGTCCTTGCCCTGATGTACTTTTTGAATAAGACCGTACGGCCATTGACCTCGCGCGAGCTTTTCATCGGCTACGATGACAACATCTCCGACTTGCGGAGTTAAGTTGATAAATTTGCCTTGACGTACGCGAGCTTGTTGACGTTCTCGCAATGCGGAGAGATAGTCGGAGTGCCAGACTTCCCAAAACTGGTCGAGAAGAACAAGCATTTCCTTGTACCACTCCGCAAGATTGTGAGAAGCGTCATAAACCGGGTCTGCTTGCGATGGCAAAGGAGGCAACTGGATGTTAATTGCGGGCGAAATAAAGTCTATAGGTCGCAGTACGTAAGCGAACACGTCCCCCTCCCGATAGGGAGTAATAGGACGGGAATTTAAGGTTGCTTCGATTTCTGCGACTATAGTTTGAAGCTGATTAAGTTGTAGTACAGCACGACCAATGGATTTTTTGTACGCAGTTTTGAACAAAGCGACCATACGTTCATAAAATCCTCCTTTCCAGGGGGAAAGAGGAGTTATGAACTTCCATACGATTTTGTGCTTTACGCAATAATTTGAAACCGACTCCCAGGCTTTGGGGGAGTAAAGCACTGAAATAATGGCGCTTTCTGCGGCATGAAACGTAGTCGAATTATCGCTGTACACGACGTCTGGTGTACCTCTACGAGCAATAAACCTGCGAAACGCGAGTAAAAACTCCTGCGCGGAATTGTCAAGTACAACTTCGAGATGTACTGCGCGCGTTGCCATGCACGTAAATAAGCTGATCCACACTTTGTTGGAATTTGTGTGCGAATTGCTTACGATTAGTGGACCAAGATAGTCTACGCCGATGTTTTGAAAGGGTCTTGACCTTTGTACGCGTTCTGGCGGTAACTGCGGCATATTAGGATACCGATAAGCTTGCCCACTGATTTTCTTACAAGCAACACAACTACGCAGAGTTTTATGAACATATTTACGTATGAATGGAATGAAAAAACGTTTCCGCAGATTTGCTATGGTATGGTACACGCCACAATGATGGAATAAGTTATGATAATGAAGTATTATTATAGATGTTAACCTATGCGTAGGCACTAACAAAATGGGTGCCGTATTTAACGGCCCTACACGAGACGGACATCGTATGAGATGATCTTGTGCTCGTTGAGCGTTGTATTCAGCGAGCTTTAACCGCTCTAGAGACGTCTCACTCTCACGATAATGCGTGAGAATGAGAAGGACTTCTGCGGTATCGATATCCGACACTTGTATAGCACCTGATGATGTAATTGAACCTACGGACGGCAATTTTTGATGGATTTTATTGCGCGTACGTTGAGATACGCGATCGTAAATTTGCTTACGTAGGAACTTAAGCACATAGGTTGTAATACGAACGAGTTTTAGATAGTTATTTGTTACCGAAAAGGGTAACACCGACACAAACTCACCTTGCTGGACTACGTGCATATTTAGGTGTTCTGATTCAACATCTTCACCGTCAGATGGTGGAAGGTGAAAATCGACATGTACATTGGGCCATTGACTAGATGGACTACGCAGAAAATGAGGTCCAGTCCACCAAATATGATGTTCAGCTTCCTTCGTTGCCAGACCGCGAGTAGCACAGTCGGCAGGATTGTCCTCGGAAGCTACGTAGTGGAACTTGACTGGAGTGCCCTGAGCCTCAATTTCTGCTACGATACGACGAATGGCATCTACGCGATTTTGAACAAAGACCTTGTAAGGCTTTAACGCGTGAATCCAATGCAACGTAATTAACGAATCTGAGAACACGTGTATGGCTGCGAAAGGCAAGTTAAGATGTTTAAGTAAAAACTGCGCCATACGAACGCTAATTAGAGCTGCTAAGAGTTCTACACGTGGAATGGTAATTGGTTTGGGATTGTTTAAATGCGATTTTGCCATAATTAAGTTGGAATACGTTGGCAGGCATACGACAAACCAAATATGCACAACACGCGTAAAGACGCTTGGAAGCGTCGCCGAAAATGCATAGCTCTAAGCTACCGGATTTTGAATTAGGCGGCAGAACTAAGCGTGGAATAGCTGGCAACGGATGTTTTAGGCCAGCTAAGAGCTGATTCCATTGCTCTAACTGCGATTTCTCCAAGGGGGTATCCCAACCCAATTCCTGTATCCAGAGGTCTTGTACAAAGACTTTGACTGGAGCCAGAAACGGGGTAAGGAGCCCTAGAGGATCGTAGGTAGAGGCTAATGCACGCAACGCTGTACGCTTAGAATTGACTTGGACTTGCGATGTTTTTATACGAATGTCCAATGTGTCCATATCGAACTGCCAACGAATACCGAGTAGCGTAGCGTTAGATGGATTAATGGCGCGATCCTGATCCGATATAGCGGAGTTAACGCGAGTAGAATTGCACAAGAACTCCCTAAGGTTCATGTGCATCCTACTAAAGATGGACTTGACGAGTTTGTACTTGCTAAGTGCATCTTCCCGTGAAGTAGCGCCCAAGATAACGTTATCCACGTAAGTATTACGTGAAATCTCGTCACCTATGGGTGATGCTTCGCGTTGAAGATACAACTTGATGGCAGCAGCAAGTAAAAACGGCGAGGCGTTAACACCGAAGGGTATACGAGTAAATCGTAAAATACGTAAATTGTTGGACGACGGTGGCTTTGATGGATCTTTCAGCCACAAAAAGCGAGTAGCATCGCGCTGAGAACGCTGAAGTCTGACTTGATGGAACGCCTTTTCAACGTCTGCTATGAGGAGGAACGGATGCAGACGGGCACGAAGTAAGATACCTACGAGATCTGGCAAGAGTGAAGGACCTTGATGTAGACAGTCGTTGAGACTGTGCGCACCCTTGCGCTTCGAGGAGGCATCAAATACGACGCGTAACTTTGTGGTAGAGGAGGATTCCTTGAATACCGCCTGATGAGGAATGTAATAAATACGCGGATCATCAAAGACGTATTCTTCGACATCCTCTACGAAGCCTGCAGTGATGTGATCCTCAATCGCCTTGACGTATTGTTGCCAAACAGATGGATTTTGGCTAAGACGTTGATATTGACTAGAAAGACGACAGTACGCGAGCTGCTTGTTATCGTCAAGATGTGGATGACCTGCTTTCCAAGGAAAGCAAACGTAAAGAACACCGTCAGAAAAAGATAGCCGTATCGTTGAATTGTTGTACAATGGATTGTTGAAGTTGACTGTCTACGGAGGGGTCGGAGTCATCGGCTATGCCGAGAGCATCTAAGGACCAGAGGCGTTTTACTGCGACGTCGTCCTCGTGCTCGTGACTGCGACCGTATCGGCGGAATCTGGGCTTTGCGAAAGCCTGACAGAAAAACCGAGTTGCCGGAGACGACCGTTCCGAATCGAGTATGACATAAAACCATGCCTGAAGGCAGGCAGACTGGCGGATCTGGTGACACAACGTCCCACCAATGGTCAATGCCAATGAGGACGTCAGGAACGACCGACTGCGGCTGACAAAACGGCAACGAAAACCCGTGATCCTGGATGAACGTAATATCCTCCGACGACAAGCGCGGTGTAAATTGCGCTACGGTGACTGTTTGCTTAGTAGTGAGCTCTACTACGAGCTCCTTGTCCAACAAATCGACCAAAGTGAGCTGCACGTTACCGGAGACTTCTGTGGTGGACTGGCCACCAAACGCGATAAACGTGCGAGGCTGCACATCAGAAACTTCGAGACCAAGATGGTTGGCTACGCTTGAAGTTATGAAGCTCCTCTGCGCTCCGGAGTCGAGAAACAAGATGACTTCTTCGAACTGCGCGGAACTGCAGTTGAATGCTTTAGCCTTAACGAGCATAAGCGAAGCGAACCTGCGAGACGATGTAGTAGCGTTGACCGAAGGTGCACCCGTATAGAGCGACTGTACAGCTTCCGCTTCGTCCTCAGACTCGAGGGCCTGATTCTGTTGCGGATATGGCGAACTGCGGCGTTTGTGATGACTTGATGAATCCCTTACGGGAGAACGAAACGCAACACGTTGCGGAATGAACGAGGCGACCAACGAGCTCTGCTTGACTCGTACCGCTCACGAGAGTATGAGCGGGATCCGTCACTTCGAGACGAGCTGCGGGCTCGGCGATGTTCCCTCGACGGACTGCGCGACGAATAACGACGAGGCGAGCGGTAACGATGATGTTTATCATCGCTGCGTCGATCCGCTTCTCGAATGACGATGAGCTTGTGATGAACGACGACAGAGAAGATCGTGATGATCTCCTCCACACACGGACAATCTGGATGATTGCAGGAACGAGACGAATGGCCTTCTCGTAAGCATTTCCAGCAGAGATTACGAATTCGTACAATGGTACGACGTACGGAAACAGGCGCATCCAGTGGGCATCGCGTTGTGCGATGGTCAACGGATTCGCAGAAATAGCATTGAGATGAACGAGGCGAATACCGTGAGCTAGACGGAGAGCGCGATGACGTGCGCTGCGATGTAGCTGTACTTATACTAAGGCTGGTAGAAAGAGTGGTAGAATCCTCGTATTTTTCCGTGGATGCGATGATATGGTCTAATTTCTGCATGACCTGATCGAGATCAAAATCCGAATTGGTTTGAAACTCGAGGTCGTGCAGTTTACGTTGGATTTCCGACGGAAATTTGCCCTTGACTAGGTCGAGGAGTTGTATTGCAGGCTGCGCTGAGGATGTTGGCAGCAGGGGTTGCGGTTGTACTACGGGGTGGTATTGCATGTAGTACGGTGACAAACTAGGCGCGTCGACTGTACGCTGCGGCAGTACATACGAACGAGTGGTGTCACTCGCAGAAGATGGCGTTGAGTGGTCCCGTTGATCTTCTTGATTGCGTACGGGTGCGGTTTGTGTCGTATCTGAAAGCGACTTGAGCTGATTGGTGTCAATAAGCGTGTTAACTTCATTTAAACGTACGCTAAGTGACGATATTATTGATTCAGCTGTCGCAATAGCGCCGTCTACGCGAGATTCGTGAATAGAAGATTTCTTGGGCGTCGCTGATCTCGCCCTCACTGCTAAATCTTTTACCACGTCTAAAAACGCTTGGCGTTTCTCCGTGAGCGTGCGCTGCGCTGCGCGAACTTGCGTTAAATAGGACTGTATTGTAGCTCGGCGTAGCTCAAGCGCCTGCATTGACCCACTACTTTGAGCATCTACCGACTGGAACACAGATGCTGGGATCTTACCTTTTACGGTTTCCCAATTGGTAATTGCTTTGGTTATGTTGGCCTTACTAGCACCGAGAATAGACATTTTGAACCGTGGCAGGAGGTGGTACTGCCGTACCCAATCTAAAAACTAACTACAATGAATGTGTGTTAGTCCGCAGGGTGGCTATTGGCCACTAGCCCCCTACGGCGGCAAACGGGAGTGTATTGCGAACGCTGGCCAGGCAAGAGACACCGTAATGAATTAGCGAATGAATAGCATGTAAGAGTACAACGGGTCGAGGAAGCACAGAAGTAACACATAAAGGGCACTATGATAAACAGGAGTGCTATGTACACATGACGAAATCTGCGGCATATGCAATATGCACCTGCGTATAACAGCAACACGGGATCATGCCTGGGAGAAACAACAGGTCCATGCCCGGGAGGACTCTAGTACAGTAACAACTGCACCGTCGCAACT